GCTTTTGTTAAAACTCGGAGGTTTTATGCTGCGGCAAAAAAAAAAAAAAAAATCCAACTCTGGAGATCAATGTGGTGGCCCGACACAAAAGGCCTCAACCGGGCTGGAAACTCCTCCATAGAGGGCACGCACGCTGTACAGTTGGGAAGAGGTCATCTGAGGAGCACGGAGCTTCTGTGATGAGCTTGCATTCCCTCTCCAAAGTGTGCAGCCCGCGTACAATAGCGGCTGCCGCGGCCAGGCCAAAGAATGCAAGGCCCGCTGCACTTTTGACGAGTCATGAGCTTTCAACACAAAAGGTGCCCAAGGTTCTCTGAGGCCGAGGGTCACTATAAAAGGCCCCGGGTTTGTTGGCATGGGTGCAACAACTCCAAGCGTCACCATGGGCAGGGTAACAGCCGCACCGTCGTCGCCAGCCAGCCGTTCGTCGCCAGCCAGCCGTTCGTCATCGCTCGGCGACGGCCGGCCAAACTTTTCATCCTCGGTGCTTTGTGTCTTTCCCCCCCCCCCGCAGATCATCTTGTTCGAGGAGAAGAACTTCCAGGGCCGCTCTTACGAGTGCAGCAGCGACTGCTCCGACATCCACCTGCACTTGAGCCGCTGCAGCTCTTGCCGGGTGGAGAACGGCTGCTTCGTCCTGTACGACCGCTCCAACTTCGTCGGCAACCAGGTTTTCCTGAAGAAGGGCGAGTACTCCGACCTGGCGCGGGTCGGGACCGTGACCGGCGTCGGGGCGGTGGCACTGGACACCGTTCGCTCTTGCCGTCTGATCCCGATGGTAAGTCCGCCTTCCCGGGGGGGTTGTCGACCGAGACGTCACGCGGCGTCACATCTGCTTTGGGTCCAACAGCACAGGGGACAGTTCAGGGTGAAGATCTACGAGCTGGAGAATTTCGGCGGCCAGATGCAGGAGTTGCTGGAGGACTGCGAGTCCCTGCAGGACCGCCTCTCCATGTCCGACTGCCAGTCCTGCACCGTGCTGGAAGGCCACTGGCTGCTCTTTGAGCAGCCCAACTTCCGGGGACGTGTCATCTACGTGAGACCCGGCGAGCACAAGAGCCTGCGCGAGAGCGGCCTGAGCAGCGTGAGCAAAATCAGCTCCATTAGACGTATCATGGATGTGTGCTGATTGCCATTCGTGTTGAAGAAATAAAAGGAACGATTACGAAAGACCCCTTTGAAAATGATCTGTGGACTCTTTGTGAGGGCTTCAACAGTGCGGGCCTGCAGCGGTTATTCGTCAGTCGCGATCGGATCAAAAAGTCAAATTCCGAACACCGAAACCAAGTGAGCGAAAATGAATCTGGATGGAAAATGCTGGAAGGTCTCCGGCGAAACGTGGCTTCCTCTGAGAGCAGGAAGTCTCCCGATATCATTGGGCCACACAATGTTACAGAGTTCATGCATTGATACATCCACAAGTTTCCGCGGTGTTACGGAAAATCAAGGTTGTTGGTATCATCTTCAGAAAAAAAAAGCATGAGTGCTTTCGGAAAAAAAAAAAAAAAAAGCTTAGGAATCAATTCGAAATGCATTTTTTTTGTTTTGCTCTCGGTGCAAAAACGCAGCGTCATCACTTTGGGTGGTGCGCTGTTGTTCTCGTGAAGCCGAGCTCTCAGTGGCGGTCACACAAAAGCGGTCATTGAGCACATGTGCACAAAAAAAAAAAGTGCAATGTTGCGCTGACTCTCCAAATCTAAAAAAGGTGTTCCACTGAAGAGAAGCATCGGACAAAAACTGCTGCTTGGTGAGCACTCCAATTGTTGTCTTCCAATAATTCCAGTGTTTACTTGCAATCGCTATGAAACACAAGACAGTTGCAAACGGCACGCATGCCATCGTGACGAGACTCAACTCACCGCCACTCAAGTGGAGCACTTGAAAACAACCGCTGCTGTATTCCAAAGTGCTGTACATGGCGCAAAAATAATTCGTACAACAACAGACGATTAAGCAATCAATTCACAACCAAGACAGCAGAAAGCACAAAAACAGTCCAAATAAAAATCAAGTCTCATGCTGAGTCAAAAGCCAACAAATGAAAATGAGTTTTCCCCCTCTGGGCCTCCTCTTAGTACTTGGTACCTCCAGTAGTGCCTGGTCCGCAGTGCTGAGGCACCGGGCAGGGGCGGAGATGCTCATAGAGGTCAGGTAGGGCCAGGCCATTTCAAGATTGGAAAACAAATGAGAGGATCTTCAAGAGAACTCGAAAATGAGCCAGCGAAGGGATGCCAGAGTAGGAGTGATGTGCTCCCTCTTACGAGTCCCGGTCAAGAGGTGAGCGGCGGCAATCTGGACCAACTGGAGACACTTCATGGAGGATTGGCTGACTCCAAAGTGGATTTCAGTCATCCAGCCGAGAGGTGACGAAGGCACGAGTTAGTGTTTCAAAGTGCCCTTGAGAAAGGAGAGGCTCGACTTTAGCAAGCTGCCGTAGATGAAAGGAGCCGGATTTGACAACGGCATCAATTTGCCTGTCCAGTTTCAAATCACGATCTGGTTTAAGACCCAAGTTGGAGACTGATAAGGAGCCAGGGGGCCCAAGTAAGACATCAACACGCAGCCATTAATGTCTAAACCAGGGGTGTCAAACTCATTTCACATGGTGGGCCACATACGGCCTCGGTAGATGTCAAGTGGGCCGGACGCACAAAACTTTAACAATTGGTCGTGAAAAATAGAGTAATACATTTTAAGAATAAATGAGATTGATAAAGAAAGGAATTTAAAAAACATTTACACGTGCATATAAAATCTAAATGTAATCCCTGCCTACACCTTACAAACTAAGGAGAGTGCTATTAAATGTGTAAATGTGAGAGTGCTATTGATAGCGTCTGCTGTCATGGGTCTGTCACAGTGACGGACTGAGGCTGCTGTTGTCTTCTTCTCTGATCAAAACAGTGCCACCTTGCGGATACTCAATGAATTGCACCTGATTAAAAATATTAATTCTGTGTCTTTAATGCATTTTTTTTCACTTTTACATTATCCTGCGGGCCTGATTGAACCTACTTGCGGGCCGGTTCCGGCCCGCGGGCCGTATGTTTGACACCAATGCTTTACATAATCATCTCGCGGGCCGGATTAAACTCCTTTGCGGGCCGGATCCGGCCCGCGGGCCGTATGTTTGACACCCCTGGTCTAAACCGCAGATAACGGCTCTGGCCGCGGTTGGCTGGAGTCCCAAAGCTTTTGGAATGGCTTTCGAACCTTTGCAGACTGATACAGATTTCATTATTTTGTTTCTCATTTGTTTCGAATGTCTTTGGCAAGATGGCTTTTCTTGATTCAGCAACACAGAGTTGCAACTTTTGAAACTCGATTCAGGTTGCTTAGTGTTATCATTGTCTTGATCCAAAAACGGCTACCGGTGCTCAAATTGCTCCAAACGGAAATCATACAAGAGATGACGACTCAGCAGTTTCAACCAACGGGACACTTTAATAACACTTGACCCCATAAGTGCTTGTGTTTGGACGTGTAGAGGCATGTCATAGAAAAACAGACATCTGTACAACATTAACAAACACGAGAGAGGGGGCAGAAAATAGAACCCACAAAAATAATTTGTCTTCTTTATATTTCCAGTAAATACGAGTAACAAGTTTAAGAAAAATAAATTCCCGCCTCTTTTTACGTCAATAAACTCCTCAGCAAATGGCGAAAGGCGGGGCCAAAGGGGATTTGATATGAATTGCGTCAACTTTGTACATCATTTCACCCCAACCTCCCGCATCGATACCACACTTATCGTGATACAGAGAAAATCAGAGGAGAGGACATACTCTGAAGCACCTCCACCCCTCACCGCCCTCCTCCGAGGAAACACCCACGTAACGGCGGTAATAATGGCATCCAAACAGCCAATCCAGCAGAAGCTCCCTATCAGTATAAAAAACATTCTTCCTGTTCTGCTGGTGAAAGGAAAAGTTCGTCCAAAATGTTCTGTAATGAATGGCTTAGTGTCGGCCGCGCCCACTCGGGAGGAAAAAAAAAACACAAAAAAAAAAAAAAAAACAGCAATCCCAACATCGCATCCCGTTGCGTCCCCGGCGACATCTTTAAGGCTTTTTTGTGTGCGTGCGTGTGTGTTCCTGTTCTCCTCAATAGACAAAATAAAGCAGCGGTTCTCTGCTAGAAAAATAGAACAGTCGAACGCAATGGCTTCGTGCTGCGTTCAGGAGACTGGGAAACGGCACCAAAGTCTCATCGACAGTTGGGGTTTTTCTTACCCAAGAGTAAACTGCACTTGGCTCGAATTGGACATCTTTGGCAGCTTCATTTTTGTGACGAGGATGCGCCAGCGTTCAAGGAGGGGTGAGCACATTTTGGGGCGTTTTGATTTTCTAGATTGAACAGCTGGGCCAGGTCAGATACACCCCCCCCCCCCCAACTCCCCCCAAAAAAGTTGAACTAAAAGAGAAAGTAATTGATGCTGTTTTTCACGGTATTATTGATAGTTAAGTTGATTATAGTTAACCAATTACTTAATCGCGCATGATTGTTTCTTTTACTGATATTTTTGCATTGCAAGTAACGGTTTATTTTAGTAAAAGAACTGCTCCATTAAAAAAAAAATACATCAATTCAAATTATTCTGCCAATTATTTGATTTAAAAATTATATTTCATTATTCAATGAGATAAATTAAAAAAAAATCTTAATTCGCTCATTTTTAAAGAAAATGCAGCTAAATTGATACAGCAAATATTGCAGGACTCTTTACAATATAAATGCTTGTTGGGTCTGATTAAAGAACGGAATAATGGCCAGACAGCGTGTAGGCCATGGGCCTCTTTGCCCACCCCTGATTTCGAGACTTTCCATCTTTTACATCCAATTGTCACATGCAGAAGGGCCTCAGGGATCCATGCCCGGCCCGCTTGAGTTCATTCGCTGACCCGTCTGAAAAACAGTCATTGTGTCATTCAGGGTCCAAAATGGTCCAGAGCTGTGTGTGTGCGTGTATACATATATACAGTATATATCGAAACAACAGTCACTGTCGGGTTGCCATGGAGGACGTGCAAGCATCAAAGTAAACAACCGTTTGGTGTTCTTCTGTCCCCGTGTCATATGTTCAACGACAGCACAGACATGTCAACCATTACGTTCAACCCCCTTGGGTTTTTTTGTGTTTTTTGTTGTTTGTTTTTGGTCATTGTGTGTCAAATGCTTGTCCAGTAAACAAAGACATCGCGGCTTTAAGAAGGTGCAGCGGCAACCATCATCCAGTGGGAGGCCGCTCAAAAAGCCCACGGATGGAATAAAGCCAAGAATATCCTGACGAGACCCCGCTGGCCCTCGAAGAATGCCTGCGGGCACCACTGAAACAAAAAAATGTCTCTGAACAAGAAAACTGTGGCCATGTTCATCATCGTCGTCATCACGATGTCCAGTAAGACGTGGCCAGAAATTAAAAAAATCCCTCACCCGAAACAGAACAATCAGAGCGAAGAAAGGAGCGTCAATTGTTGCTAAAAGATAACGTTAGCTAGCAGGGAATAAATAGGTACAAAAGAGAGCCTCTTCCTCATGAATCTTAATGAGAATACCAAGCTTGAGCTATCCAGGGGGGGAAAAAAAAAATATTTTCCTCTTCTTCTTCGCAAACAGGAAAAATCTGACGGCTCTTCCTGTACGTCACGCCAACTGGAGCTCGTGCGCATCACGACTGATGACTGTGACGGCGCCATCTGGGCCGGTGGCGCAAAGAAAAGAGGAGCCGTCTGAGTGCAAACACAACGTTCAGGGCTTCTGGGGACCAGGGGACAGAACCACAGGGGTGGACAGACCATCCACACTCAGCGCCGGGATGTGGATCTGGTTACTGCCGTTTGTCGGGAACTGGAGGAGACACCGATATTTACGGTCAACCTCGGCCGACTTGCGAATCGCCATTGGCAAACTCAACCGCTAGCGAAATGTAGCGTATTTTACGGACAATCGGTCGTACTTAAAATCCTTGTGAGCAAACGGCGAGGGCGAGTTACCTGGAAGGAGAGCTTGGCAGGTGAGCGAGGCGCGATGGGACTGAGCGTACTCCAGAAGTGGATGGTGGATGGAAGAGGACTGGGAGTCAACAGGACGGGCGTCTGGAGGACAAACAAGTCAGCGGGGGATCGGCGCGGCGAGCGGCACTCGGGCCGAGCGTTGCCTTACCAGAGCGTGCGAGGTGATGACAGTGGGCGTCAGCGTGTTGGTTGCCGAGCCGGGCGCCAGCAAACTGTTGACGGCGGCGGTGACCTGCCCCAGACAAAAAGAGGACGTGGTGTCGTGAGCGGGAGCGACGCCACCCAAAGCGATTCAGGCGTCGGTCGTCACCTTATCCTGGGAGAGGCCCGGCGGGAGGGAGGGCAGCTCCAAGCCTCTGGGCTTCTTCGGTTTGGGAGGAACCGCGTCTGGGGCCGAGCTCGATGACGTCGCCGCTGGCACGGACGAGCCTACAAAACGCAACAAATTTGTGCTGGTGTTTCGGTGCATCTTGAGACTTTTTTTTTTTAAACTTATTTTCACATTATCTGTCAAGAAAAAAAAACCCAAACTACTTATTTCGACTATTTCAGGCCCCAAAAATATGAGGATGCGCGAGTACGTTTTTCACCCAGTGGCTCAAGCGCGAACGGGATATGATGTTGTTGAATGAAATGTTTTTAGTCGCTGACTCACTTCAGATCAAAAGACTTCTATCGTTGAAACAAGGCTGGCACAAAAAGCACGTTGTAATGAGGCAAGAGAAAAAAAAAAATGAGGGCCACACGTCGGGGGCAAGGTTCAAACGCTAATGGGCATGAGTCAGGCTCAGCCCCATGTGGCGAGCTTCATGCCAGCGGTAGCGGGTCAACGGAATGGAACATCAAGGGCAGCGATATTGCGGACCTGTCCTGGTTGACGTGTCTCTCCAACATCACATCGGGGACAGGACGGAGCCTCTGGATTCGCAAGATGGGGTGGTGGTCCCGCTTTTCAACAAGGGCAATTACGCATCCTGGTAAGGTCTATTCAGGCGTACCCGAGAGTCGGGTCCGTCGGAAAGCGGAATCTCAAATCCAGGCGGGCCGGTGACCGGCTCCACGCCCTTCGGCGGGGTCGTCGAGGTTCATTGGGAGTTGGCCCGACCGGTCTACATGAGTGTGGTGGACTTGGAGAAGGCGTTCGACCGTGTTCTGTGGCGGGGTGCTTTGGGAGGAAGGGTAACCAAAACCCCCGCCAACCGATATGGGCTGTTCGGTTGTTGTACGACTAAGTTTGTCAAAGTTTAGTCCACATTGCCAGCAGTAAGTGGGATTCTTTTCCAGTGAGGGCCTTTGTCACCGATTCTGTTCAAAACCAGAGGTGGAATGGGCAGAAAAAAAAAAAAAAAAAAAAAAAACTCCCAAAGGAGAACAA